AGGCTCGCTGCAGACGAGCCACAGCAAGTTATTATTGTCTGAGCATTACGCAAGCCTCGCGTGACTGCACGGAACTCGCCACTATCGTCTATCACAGGCGTTATTGCCAGATTCAATTTCTTCAAATCCATATAAAGTGACATTGGGTAGGTTCCACGAAACAAACAATGCTGAAAGACCTAACTTGGAAAGCTGGGGCATGTGACCTTGCGGAATGCTACCACAAATAAACATTTGATGGATATAATATACAATGTTATATCCATCAAATTGTATTAGAAACAGTATCCCACAGTGAAATCTCTGCCGCGACAGACTTGATGATTAATGGACCTGTCACCAATAATAATCAAAATTTAAGCACTCGCCCAGTCGACGTGATACGAAAACATTCAACAGCTGGCGAAGCAATCATAATTTGTATTCCCCCGCAAACAGCTAATGAAATAATAAGCGAGGGCTGATCTAATGTTATTGAGGTTCCACACATCGCACCGCCCGGCAGAGGGCGCGGCGGTGCGGGGCTTGTAATGTGATCGTCATACGTCCCGTTTATTGCTGTTCCGGTAAATATACTCGTACGGCTTATTTGTAATTATAGTTTGTTATGAGGGGAACTATCGTGAGGGCTGTGGGTGCTTCATTCAGATTATAGTTTGCTGAGTACATTAATATAAATTAGAAAATTATTATTACAGTGATATAAATGGTTTCTTCCTCTCAGTTAACTTAGATATGCTGATGAAAAATGACACGTACGTTAGACAATGTTTGGTAAAATAAAGCAAATTTAAGGAGGTGAGGCAGTCATTAATTTCTTATTTTTTTAAATACGTACCCCGTATTTTTTTAGTTCTCATCCCTAAAAATATCTTTCGGTGCTGTTAACTGAAAGTTGTATAATCCAAGCGCTTATAAGCTGTCCAATATTTTTACCGTAGTGAACGTCTCGAATTCGGCTCTCCAAGGCGGTGGCACGTGGCGCCTGCATTCCTATTTGATTCGCTCATAAAACGCGTCCACACGACGTGTTGCTCACATCCTCCACTAAACTTTTACGTGAGAACATTTACCGGAGTGCACGCCTGCTGCCGCCGCTAGTATCGACTGAATATTTCATACATACGTGTACTATCACCACTCACATATATGTTACACATACAGCATTAAACTTTAAACCAAGCTCTGTTTTGTTTGGCGTGTTCGGTTAAAATTCTTCTCGTTTTCTGAAAATAAACTCTTCCGACGCAATAATAAAGATTAGTTTCTCAATTTAGTCTAAGGAGATAACAAAGTGTTTGTTTTCGTATTTCCTGAAGATATTTAAAAGAAATTGATATGTAAAGTGGGAGCTACTCGAGCATGCTGTGAATAAGCAATGAGTAGGCGAATGTAAAATATTACCGAGATGTGGTCAGTATGGACTCACGGAGTGGATTCTGAATGACCTGAATAAGAACAGAGACTGCAATACATACCTACCTACCTCTATATTGAATAGAACTTCAAGTCACAATTGCGATTACATTTCGAAACATAAGCATGCAGCGATGATTATGGAGTTCTGTTCATCTTATCCTTCGACGGACGAGCATACACCAGCCAGCCTTATTCACGTTGACTATTCGAAATAAAACATAGTGCATGCAAATTATACAAGATATGTGATTTTCTATTCTATAGCGTAACTAATACTATCGATAGTTAAATGGGTTAATGCTGCTCTTTTACTAGTTAGTAGGTACTTATACATCTATTTTAACTAAGTTCGTGGTTTACCTGGGTCTCTGACCTGAGTGTGGTCGGAGCACACTGTACGCGATGTATATGTGCCTGTGTGTCCCTGCGGGCCAGTGCCGGTGTTGGTCTGTTCTAGTTGGGTGGCCTGACATTCTGCCCAGACGCTAGTGTTTGTACTCTGTTGTTCAAACTGGGTCAGTGTGACTTCTCCTGTATGCTCCTCTGTTCTAGTAAACATCCCCTGAAGCATTGTTTGTTTAAATCGTTCACAGCTCTTAGTTAGATTTTAAACAATGTTCATATCTTTTTTTTAACAATAACACGTTGTCGATAATATATTGAAGGGGCTTAAGTAATAATTAGGTAAAACTTTTGGCCTCAATCTTGTTCTTAAATACAATTGAAATAAGTACAAGGCTAGTAACAAGGGCTCGTAATTTGTATTAGCATAAATCTGGGAAGTTGTTGACCTCTGTCCTCATTTAATGGCTCTCTGAAGGAAGCTCCAAGTTACAACGAGCTCTATAAACCCTCTACATTAAACTATTATGTTCAACCTGCGCTTCGGAACAAATCCTTGTTTGAATTAACCAACTTTAGTGCCGTTACGTCTAGACATGTGTATCTAGTGGACATGCTACATTTATAAGGTACACTGGTACATTAAATAAATGGTTTTTCTTTCTTTCTTTTTTTTATTTCTTCTGCAGTTATTGAGCCTGAGTGCCTTGAGTCCATGTGACAATTTGTTTTAAAAAAGAAGATGGTTCCAGTAAGGCAATGGAAGATACAATAGTGGTATAACTATTATAAATTGATTAAACTGGTACAATAATGTCAACTTGTTGAGCTCGCAGTGTCGCAGTACAGTCAGCGGTTAATTGAATCAATTGTGATTGAATGCCACTTTTCAATCGAATGTTTGCGCACAATATTGCAGTTTACACCAGCAATTTGGCATTAATACCCCAAATATTTTTATTGAGGAAATTGTATTCGTATCTCATTATCAAATACATGAGTTAATGAACTGCCTAATACTTGTGTACCTAATAAAGAAGTACGATGACCTAAATAGCACAAATTTGATCGCATTCAAACAAATAAATAAAGATGAACTAATGAACATAACTTAGTCTCGAGACGTTTAGTTTAACATGTGAGCATTAACGGACATTATATTGAAAATATTGCGCCTATTTGTGGCGGCCGGTGGCGGGCAGGATGCGTGGCGTCACGAACAAACATCACGCTATTAACATTCCACGCATATCTCACATATTTGAGGAATATCCTCTGTTTGACCGTTTACTATCGAGCTCCTACTGCACATGTGCGCTACCATTAATCATCAGTGGACGCGTACGCGTAATATTGTCTTATGCAGTTTTATGGACGAAATTAATTACCGATCAAAATCTTTAGATCAATCGGTTCAGTCAATTGGTTTTTGTGAAACTCCATAGGACTACCATCAAAAATCGTTCAAAGACTTCGAATTAAATTCATTTATTAATTACGTTCATAACACACATGGACACATCGATAAATTATTAATACGTATTTGTTGTACAAAAAAGTGTTAAGTGTAGTGATTCAAAAGTTAAGTGCAGTTAAAATCAATATCACTTCATGTTCGCTTTCATCTTCATAAGAAAGGTAAATAGAGAAAGATTTGAAATAATTCTTAAAAACCATACAAAGTTCTATAGATAGGACTATTACAAAGTGGTTCTATTGTTTTAATATTGATTTATGTGTCAGTTAGTGGGTAATTACGGCAGTGGTAAGTCCTTCCTTAGTCTTTAGTTATCGGAGCGTTGCGTTGGTACTTATTATAGTACTACTTATTGAATAAAAGCTCGGGAACGCATTCAGAGTAATTACATGCCGGTAATGGAGCACTGTGATGTAATGGAAGGCTGATAACCGACCACTATGAGCCATTACTTCCAACAATCGTTGAGTCATGAGCTATGGCAGTGGTTACTTTTGTAGATAATTTTGTAACTGTACTAGTGAACATTTTAAATATTGATTTAAAATTCCGTAAGTTCTTCCCGTTTTGGTTGAAGGAATACGCAGTATAGTTGTTAACCAAATATTTCACTCTCATACTCAAAATATTCAGAAATGTATGTGCGAATGTACTCAGAAACATTGAAACTATTCTTTAGTAACGATTTTGTTTCGAACACAATTGCTAAGGACTGAGCTAAGTAACCATTAATTAATCACTCCGAGTACGGCGGTACAAGTATTATGCAATAATGGGCTATGATAAATCCTTACTAATATTATAAATCTGAAAGTGAGTTTGTTTGTTTGTTCCACCTACACGCCGTAACTACTCAACTGATTCCTTTGAATTTTTGCAGACGTAAAGTTAGAAGTCCGGATTAAATAATAGGGTACTTTTTATCCCGGAAAAATTTGATATTCCCGAGGGAAAACAAAAGTATTGGTATAGATGGCGCTATGTGTATTGGTATATGTCACATAGGCTACTTTTTATCCTTTTGTGACGCGAGCGAAGCCGCGGGTAAAAGCTAGTATGATAACAAAGCCAAACTATTTGTTGCTTCTTAAATATTATTTCATAAACTGCCAAACACAGTTCACGTGGAATGTGGCTCAATAGAGTAGTTTCTAATCAAGTTTCAACATTGAAATTCCCATAGAGTATTGTATTAAGTTGTTATCACTGAACCACTGGTCGTCCTTCAAGGCACGGCCTTTCGAGGCTGACAGCATTAGGAGATATTATCTAAAGCTTAAATAATAATACACAATTTACTCCATTGCTCTAAAGTTGGAATTCCTAATTCAATAATTGCACGCTACCTTATAATAGATAAATTGCAGTAAGCAATATTGGCAAAACTGGATTAGAATGTTAATACTATATTGCAAGTTGTGCCACATAGAATTAGTTTATCGGTGTTGTATGCGCCACCTGTGTGACGAATGGGTCTGACAATGTACTACAGTGAGTTATCATACAGCTGAATAAGTTACAGTTCTAAACATAGGTACTAATTGGACAGTAATTGCTCTAAGTGGCTCCACTTTACGATATGGGGAATGGAATAATAATGAGAACTTGTTTGGGAGTGTATTCTTTTCCTTACCTTTGTGGTCTAGGACCGGCATAATAAATGCCTTCATCTTGTCGTGTATATGTTTCTGTAAGCTTTCTCTCATGTCTCTGACGTTCAGAAGGTGCCTTACCTTAACACATTGTAATTTGTTGGTTCCAGAGTAAGGAGCTAAGCGGGAGCGACTGCGGCATGGGAGTACGCGCGCCAGACACCCTGCCCGGTCTCACACACCACTATTGTAGCGACAGGTAAGTACATTACATACTACAATTATTATCGATATTTCTAAAAAATACGTAAGGAGTGTCTAATAAACATGAAGGTATAATCCAATACAATAAGACATAATAATAAACGCGTGTAGTAGCAATATGATTAATATACTTTGAAGTATAATGATGTTTGGACGATATATTTTATTTAGTTTAGTTTTTCTAAAAACTTTTGAAATTACACCTAGTTTCAACTAGTTTCACTGACGGACTGACTGACAGACTATTATTAATTTTGTATTTGTGGACGTTTCAAAAGTACCAAACTATGGTTTAATTGAAATAAATGATTTGACTTTGACTTTGATTAAAATAGTTATGACTAATTTGGAGTCCATGCACATTCGACCTGAATTCTAAATTGGTAAAGCAGTAAAATATTTACGAGCTGCTGCAATACAGTACAGGTTTTTCTAAAAAGTGATTATTCTTATTGATACATGATGTATGTATATTCTGTTAACGTTGCAGCTATCTCAAAATTAAATCATTTTGTGTACCTGCTTATTTGTTGGTGCGCGGAGCTAGCTATAGTTAGAGTCTACTGTAGTTTTGTAAAACCTATTTAGTCAAGTGGTAAGAATTGACCTCTAAAAAGTAATACCCATTATGGGTGGTCGAGTGAACGAACTAATAGGGTTCTATATTAAAATTGCAGGTCCCCAGCGAAATGCAATATAATGGGTGTGTCGAAGCTAGTAAACGAGCCGAGTCCGAGCAGCTCGGAGGAGTCGAACTCCCCGACGGAGCTGAACTGCTACCGGCGGCTGGGGGAGCGCCCCCCGCTCATGAAGAGACTGGCCATGGGGCTCAGTGGAGCGCTGCTGCAACCGTCCGACGATGACTCCACGCCACTCGTCGCGGACACACCTACCACGTATGTGTTGCTACTGGTTCTAAATAATTGTTGTCAATACATAAATCTCTCTCCTGGCTGTTTCCAATGAATTTCATTTTCATTGTTGTATGATTCTATACAACCAAGGGAACCTTGGTTCTCCAAAAGAATAAGATAACGAATAACGAATAAGAACCTCCAAAAGAATAAGAACCACGATAACATAATTATATATTCTTCATGAAACACTTCCAGGCCCACAAATCTGCCACTATGTATGAACGGAGGTTACATCAACGAGGCGTCAGAAGCGGAGGCTCGCACGCGGGAGAGTAACCGCGAGCCCCCCGCAGTGCCGGCCGCACCGCGCCGCACTGAGCTGTTGACGCATGATCTAGATGTCGACTTCAGGAGGTGTAATAATATCAAGAACAGGTACTTACTTCACTTAATAATCTTTTTTTGTGGAATTTATTAATTATTTTTTCAATTACATTTCCTTATCTTTCTTATTAAAAACTAACTTTGCTTTTATCTATTTTTCAAATACATAGTCTGTACATCTTTTATTTTGGCCCACCACTGCATCAATTAGGTTTTCATTCCTTCTTTAATAAACGCTGGTTCCCGTTACGTTCTCTATACCATCTCCCTGCTCCTATATGTAACGTATTTAACAAGTGCGGACGTCACTTTACGAGCTGATCTTGTGTTCCGTTTGAATAAAATTTGAATGAAATTCAAGTTTTACGTTACGACTTAAATATAAAACGGTATTTAAATTAATAGTCCGACATAAATTTTCAATTGACACCTCGGTCCAGAACTTTCGACTTGCACAAAAGACTTGAAAATCTATTTCTCGGCTTTAAAGTATACCCACGACGAGGTCCGGCGCGCTGGGACCATTCTATTTACTTTTTTGATTTAAAAAAGTTCTATATTAAATTACCACGATGATAGCGGCTTAATGGAAACTGGGTCACGAGTTTTCATTCTTGTGAATGCTCTCAGCAATATTTTATTTTAAACCTTTTAAGCTTAAGCAGCAGAGTAATGACGTCTGAACTTTTGTTCGATGAACACTGTAAACACGTATTTGTTGAAATTAAGTTTAACGACACTTTGGACTTCCTTTAGTACGGGGGATTACTTTCAGTTACTGTCTACCGCGTCTATATTTAGTTACTTTTTTCATCTACCATTTGTACTTTTATAGGTGCTTTAAGATTTCATTTGTGCTTTTTTACCATTGTTAAATTTTGACTGTCTTATATTTTGTATAGGTCTTAATTTTTGCAATTGATTAAAAAGCCGTTGTTGTGTCGCAGTGAGTCTGCGGCGTGCAGCCGCACGACGTCGTCGTCGTCAGGCGCGTCCTCGTGCGGCGGCGCGCCGCCCGCCAACAACAACGTGCCGCGCGCAGAGCCCGAGCTGCGCCAGGCACCATGGTTCCAACACGGGATACCACGAGAGGTCATTATTATTGCATTTTTTATTTATTTATTTATGTACACACGTCCAACATAAAGGACAACACATATATAAAATTAAAGTACAAAGGTACCACCTAGTCCTATTGGAACTTCCTCCTGTGGACCTGGGGCAGGAAAAGTAATAATTTTTATTTTTTTTTATTTTTATTTATTTTATTTCAAATCCATACAATATATAAATAAATGCATACAAAATATCAGAAGGAAAGGTAGTGTTCTCTCACTCGTCTTTTAAAGATTGCGATCGACTCAGCGTCCCGAATGTTAGGCGGGAGCGAATTCCACAGTCTATAGAAATCGGTATTATGGGGCTCGATTTTAAGATTCGATTTAAGGTGTGCACGAGATAGGACTTCAGGAGGACGAACCAAGGAGAAACGGTCCCGAAGGTAAGCAGGATAGGCAGGGTTGAAGAGGATGTTATATAGGAAATATAAAATGCGAGTGTTCCTGCGAAGACAGATCGGAAGCCACTTAAGCATTTTGCGGAATATGGAAACATGGTCGTACTTTCTTAAACCAAAGACAAAGCGGATACAAACATTTTGAAATCGCTCAAGTTTATTTAAAAGCTCCTCTGTAGCATCCAAATAGCAAGCATCAGAATGAGCTTCAGATATATTGAAGTGACGGTATAACTGCAAGTCGTCTGCTTTCGATGTTTTTTTTTTTTTTTAAGTGGGGAAAATCATCGAATGACTGCTCCCGCTTGGGAGAGGCGGAAGGGAGCGTCAGACTCTTACTGACGAAAAACCACCCCGTTCCTTCTCCTGCACGTCAAACCGGAGCCCCGGTTACCCGTTAGGTTCTCCGCGACTCCGAATCGGCATCGGCCCTATTGGGCCCCATCTGTGGTGGTCTGATGGCTCTTTGAGGCGCGCGCGGAACGCGAGGCGCCGTACGCTCGGGTCTGTTTCTGGTCGGACGGGGAGCCACCCATGCTCGCGCGTCCCGCGATCCCCGACGCCCGGTGTGTCCTTCGCGATGGCTGGGTTGCGAGGAGGCAGCGCTTCGCTGCCTCACGCGTCTCGCCTCCTCCTTAGCTAGCATGACTGCTTCGCAAAAGGAGGAGACGGCATCCCAGTCCCCCTCGCTCCGCATCATGGCCTGCACTAGGCCCGGACGCGAGAGGTCGCCATCGCCGATCACTTCCCTGAGGGCACGGCGGTGCTTAGCCCACGCGGGGCATTCCGCCACAGTGTGTTCCACCGTTTCCTAAGGGCGGTCCTCGCAGTGATGACACCCGGGTGTTTCCTCCCGCCCCATCAGACACAGGTACCTCCCGAAACTTCCATGTCCGGTGAGGACCTGCGTCAGGCGGTAGGTGAGGACGCCGTAGCGTCTCTCAAGCCACTTCTCAAAGAGGGGTCTTACCGCTGCAATGGCAGCGAGCCCATGCTTTCGATGCTATGAATCATGACTTGGATGGAGTTGCTATACATTGTATACACAATTGGGAGTTGGTTTCCATTTTTCATACAGCGAAACTACTTTCGCTAATAACAGTATGGACAGATTAATAACAGTTTGTATCTACGTGGACGTAGAGACTGTTATTTTAAATAGTGTGGTTTAAGTCTCTTGTGTTGTCATTACAGATAGCACTAGAAGTCCTGAGCTCGCAGCCGGTGGGTGCGTTCCTAGTGCGCGGCAGTACGACGCAGGCTGGCTGCTTCGCGCTGTCCGTGCGCGTCCCGAGGGACTTCACGCCCGCCGGCATCGCGCACTACCTCATACTGCGCACGCCCAAGGGATATAAGATCAAGGTAATGTCTTGCATAGTTTTCATTATACATCGTCATTTAATTAGCCGGAGGACTTCCACTGTACGACAAAGGTCAACCGTTTAGCATGATAATGCACTTAAGATCCAGCGGTAAGCCATAAGTTTGATGATGTAGCGAGTCTTCCTTAACCGTGGAGTGTAGTGATGACGCGTGGAGTGTGTGCAGGGGTTCACGAAGGAGTTCCCGTCGCTGTGCGCGCTGGTGACGCACCACAGCGTGATGCCGGAGCTGCTGCCGGTGCCGCTGCGGCTGGCGCGGGGGGGGGCCGGGGGGGGGGCGGCCGGCCCGCGCCGCGCCGCGACCACGCAGACCTCGACGCACTCGCGCGCGCACACACGCGCACACCGCACACACACACACACTTCCTCGCACAGCTCGACGTCTAGCTCCTGCTCCCGCAGTGACGTCACTCACTCTGCACGTCATTCCCATTTTAGTCAAACGAACTTTGGAATAAATGCAAGCGACAGGTGTGAATAATAAAGTTAATTATTCAATGTATGTACAACAATTCTTAGGTTGTTAGGAATTTTAACAAGGATTTTAACTCAGTATCACAAATTCTGTCTCATTACACCTACATCGAAAAGTGACACTATATTTATGATATCGACAACCTACAAATTTTTGTATATTCATTAATATCAAGAACAAATTAGAAAAATAATACTCATGTATGTTTGTTGGGAATATCATGTTTGCTGTTATAGTCACTAAGATAGAACGTAATAATACAACATAATAATGATATGATTTGCGAAAGGATAGTTTCAAGATTGCCATTGTTTAAATCGCCATCAACATTAAGAAAATACAAATTAATATCACTCGACAATTAAATAATGTTATCATTACTTAAATTAAAACCATAGAAAGGAAAATGAAACGCACATAATTCTATTCACAATTTTATTGAATCACTTCGATAGAACGTTACAATAATTATCTTCGCATTAAAACTAATTATTCACTGTTATACAAAACATAATAAATATGAAAAAATATAAGATTTCTATATAACGATTATGAAAGAAGAATATTATCTAAAATAGTCAAGTTTAGGGAGTCATTAAATTATTGTATGTTGTCTAGTAACTGTTGGTAAGTTCTCTTTGTAAGAATATTGTGATAAATATCATACTTAGGGTGTGTACGCAAATGTAAAAAATATATTTGTAAAAATATAATGTGTATATGGATTGTAATTATTAGAAGATTCGTGTCATAATCATAGTTTATATGATAGTTATAGTGGAGGGAACCGCGCGTAGTCTGGCCTTAGCAACGATATCCTTGTTTCAGCTCTTATACGAAGGCAATATAAGCAATGAATTTAATCCAACAAGAAACAATCAACAGGTACCTTATGACGTAATCACATAATTGATATAGATGCAAAAAGTACAAAATAGTACGTTTTGTCCTTTATAGCAAGTTTTATCGTACTCTGATAATACAAACAAAATTTGGGGCCTGAATCGTAATCTCATATGTTTCAATTTCAATATGGAAGGCACTGCGGAAACCTGTTTTTCAATTTGAAGAAACATTCATGGTACATATTAGTAGTATTTGAAACAGGGATGTCGTTGAGTTTGAACTAGTTTGCGCTTAAAATGTTTAATTAAATTGTGTAGGTATGTTCTAGTCGAATGAGATGTACAGCGGAGCGAGCACGGAACGATGCACGGACAATACCACACATTTGTTATTTGTAGATACTCCACGGACTAGTGGATGTGTTAAATGTGTATGTTTTACAGTCAAGTTGTCCACATTGTCGACACGACAGACCTGTGACCTGAGTGTTTGTAAACTTTGAGTCCAGCATTTGAATGCAAGTTCATACGAGTAACATAATTATTTTTTTTCATCTTATTACTATTTTTGTATAATAATAATTGTCAAAAACAAATATATGAAACAAAAACATATGACACTTAAAATAATTATTATGAGCCCCATTATAGCTCGAAGTTAGTTGGGTATCTTCGAATACTTTACGAACGCGAACCCTCAATGTTATTTTTCAACTGTATTAATTATGAGAAGTTTGCGTATCAGTCATCAATAGGCTAAGGAAATTTAGTTTAAATACATGTCTAGTGTGTCGACAATAGTGACTCTATACAATAAAATTAAATAGAGTAAACATCGGAGAACGGTGACTGTGTCGCCATCTCTCGGTGTATGTTGTAAACAAGTTGCCTTTTAGCGAGTACCTACACTGCGGCTTCGCGTGAGTGACATACAGACACACAAACTGAAACAAAGAGTTATGAAGAGAATGAAAATATCGGTTTTATCAACTGAGCGTTTTAATTAATGAATAAATTAAAACTATTGATGTTTCCTTTCTTATAGTTTTAGACTATTATTATATTATCATTGATTGCCTTTTCTAGAGAAACTGAAGTCATATTGTTATTAGTTAGCAGTCTTGTTGTGTGTGTCTGTTCGTCACACAATATGTTGTTTGTTACACTGCCTTAGTACGGATCGTTTGTATAAACGTAATGATATCAGTAGCTTAGTCTGTTGATGTTTACTGTGACTTGCCATCGCAATTACTACCTTATCGTTAGGACATTATAGCACTTGACCGTTTAATATGGCAGCTGGCAATACTATGTATCTGTACTTAAAATGCTTTATAGCCTTCATGAATAGTCCTATTTACTTTGTTGTAATTAGAGTTGGATTTCTGAGGTCTCCAAACATGCTGCTGGTATTTAAATGAAATTATATATGTATATTATACTTATTTAGTCTTGGTGATGATACCTTGGAGTAAACTTCAGGCTCTTGTTTTTATTATTAAGACTACTTGCAATGTATCCGTGATAAAAGCGCAGTTATCTGTTACACTTAATTATCACAAAATAGGACTTGTGTTTAATAAATCTACTCAGTGCTTAAAACAAACTCATATTAGTATACATTCATGTAAAACGATTGCTTATTGTGCTCATATCACGCCTCGTAGCAACACGTTTACGCTCGATTTTCTAGATCATCTACTATTTCACTTTCACAATCTTGACACCAGATGTCGCCATGTGAAACGTCAGTTTTGTACCTAATAAGCGAATTTTATCCACCTTTATTACAAGTGTAGTTGACTACATCAGTGAAACTAATAATTTATTTACGTATAAATAAAATAAATATCAAGAATATTGCACGCTGTTGTTTCATTTAACTAACCGTTCAAACCATATATAAGTAAGTGTAGTTTAGTTATTGTTGAATAAACAATTGTACGACAAAATACATGTCTCTATGGCAATAGGCTCACCCCCTATTACATGGGACTCATAACATAAATAGTGAAAAGTGGGTGGTACATTGTATAGTGGCATAATGTGCACCTCTGCCTACCCCTTCGGGGATAAAAGGCGTGATGTTATGTATGTATGTGTGTACGACAAAATACTAGTGGTGCTCTCCAACGACTGAACTATGTACTAAACAGGGAAAATACAAACAGCGCCATCTGTTGTTAACGTAGTGAGGTAGTTAAGTTTCAAGTTTAGTAGCTTTCTCTTCAGTTTCAGGAGCTTTGCTTAATGTGTCTTGTTTTCAGGCTGCTATCCTGAAAACTGTTCAGTGTTACGATTTTCTCACAGATGTCAGCAGTTTGTTATCTACGCTACTTAGGTACATGTTACGTATAACTGTATTGGTTTTTAAAGTATCCTATTATTTTTCATCTCTTCTTACCTTCCTTATTAACTGGCCCAATTCGTACGTCACGTCATTCAATTTATACTTAAAAGCAGTAAAGGTCACATACAAAACAAAACTAGGTAGTTGTGGCTATAATTGGTCCTGAAATTCAATGTGAGATTAATTATTTTATTACCAAATAAGAATTTAAGTAACCAATATTTATGACGTGTTGAATTCGCTAATGGTTGTTAAACCTTGCACTTTAAGTGTTTCTTTTAATGTAGATACTAAGTTATACATTATAAACCACATACAGACCCTGCCAGCTATATACTGTATCTGTGTGGACAACGCATTACTTTCAATAAAGCCGCGAGACTGCTACACTGCTACTTAAGCAGCTGCAGTCGACTCGTACACGTCCAAACAATATAAAATGAGAAACAAATGGAAGTTTGTGGAGTTTTATCCTTATCTACAACTGTAAAAAGAAGTATTAGTGACTATAATAGGTTGTATCAGTATGCTCTATGTATGTATTTAGTTTGCGCTGCTATTTTTAAATTGTTTAGGATAATTTCTTGTGTTGACATTTTTGGAAACTGACGTAATTATTATTAATTAATTCAGTATGAATATGTTTCCTCTTAAAATTTTCGTTTGCTTTTTCCTTCCTGCCTTTTTACCATAATAAAAAATTAATGTCATCTCGCTGTTGAAATTTCACGCAGTTCTGTTGCATTTACATAATAGTGTGAGGGGAGAGACGCCTACATAATTCATAAAAGTGTGTTTTGGGACACTGACGACCGTTTATTAATGATGATCTTAGATAGACTGCTAATGACTTCTATATTACCTGCTCGTGACTTATACTAATCACTACATAGTATGAAACAAAGTCGTTATCCACCGTCTGTCCTTCTGTATGCTTAGATCATTAAAACTACGCAACGGATTTATTTAATAGATAGAGAGTGATTCTTAAGAAAGGTTTATATGTATAATAAATGCACATTGCTCCCGTGCGAAGCCGGGGCGGGTTGCTAGTACCAGTAATATAGTGTAGTCCAGTCAATGACAATTTCATGTAAATAAGAACTAAGTTTAAGAAGATTCTTATGGAGTCATAAGATTGTTTTAGACCAAACTACGTACTTAATAGACGAAGTCAGAAATATATCAACGAGGCTTTCAAATTATATTTCAGCCAACTTATACCTTACTTAACTATGAGTCAGTAATGCTTCGATTTTGTTATAAAAGTACATCATGATTTCGGAACCCCATTCACCGAACACTTCGAACAGAAACCTCGTGTACAAAAATGTTGAAGCAGTAACATAAAAACAAATGTGTTATAATGTACATTATCCTTGTACGCAATGACAGCTATACAAACCTCGGCGAACGGAGTATGAACCTATCCCACTCTGTAATTAGAATCGAACCCGAGCCGTGCTACCAATATTTATTCCATGACCTCTGTAGAACAAAGACTGTTTTTGTCTTTAAATACATAATAACATAACATCACGCCTTTTTATCCCCGAAGGGGTAGGCAAAGGTGCACACAGAAGTAACACCCACTTTTTCACTATTGATGTTATGAGTCCCATGTAATAGGGAGTGAGCCTATTCCCATATACCGGGTACATATCCAGACTCCGTGCTACTACTGAGATTTTTTTTTAAAAAACCCAGTTGTACTCTGCCCGACCCGGGAATCAAACCCGAGACCCCTTGCGCGGCTGTCGCACTTGCGACCACTCGGCCAACGAGGCAGGTCTTTAAATACAAACATACAA